GATTTTTGCACGCTCGGCAAATATCGGTTTTCAAATGGACGGTTTTTCAACCGCACTTTGTACTTAAAAAATGCGCATCTTCGAAACGAAAACAAGTAGCAGATTGAAATGTCTAAAGAAACTGAAGGTTTGATTAAATTTTCTGAAAATCCTGATTTTTTCCAGCTTTGTAAATATCCGTCTCTTAATGGAAGTTTTTCCTCTTACCTAAAAATCGTATCATCCGAACTAAAACAAGTAGCAGCTCAAAACTGTCACAATCCTGTATCTAAAGATGATTTTTTTAAACCGCCTTGAATTCTGATTTTTGACTCTTCGGTAAATATCGGTCTCAAAATGGATGTTTTTATGCAACTGCGCTCTTTACTTAAAAATTCACATCTACCGAACCAAAACAAGCAGAAACTTGAAATTTGCACAGCCGCTAGTACGCACATGAGTTTAACCGAGATGAAAGTTTTTAAGAAATCGCCCAGAATCCTGATTTTTGCCAGCTCGGTAAATATCGGTCTCAAAATGGATGTTTTTATGCAACTGCGCTCTCTACTTAAAAAAGTCGCATCTTTCGACATAAAGCAAGTAGCAGCTTGAAATTGCTACAACCTTTAGCAGACACTTGGGTCTAAAGAAGCTCAGAGTTTGATCACGATTGACCAGAAACCTGCTTTTTCCGGCTTTGTACATATCGGCTTCACAATGGATGTCTTTACTCTACTGCGCTCTTCACTAAAAAAAATCGCTGCTTCCGAACTGAAACAAGTAGCAGCTTGAAATTGTCACAATCGTTAGTCCATACGTGAGTCTGAAGATGACCAAAGTTTTTAAAAAGCGACCCGGAATCCTAATTTTTGCAAGCTCAGTAAATATCGGTACCAAAGTGATGTTTTTACTCGACTTAAAAAATTCGCATTTTCGCCACGTCAAGTAAACACTGGTCGCTCTCCTGTTTCAAGCAATCCCTCAAAAGTATTTCAGAAAATATCTGCAAAATACCGAAATAAACATTCAAGTAGAAAAATAATTGGAGTAGAACTGGGCATTTTTTCTCATCTGTTAAGTGCTTATTGACAACTAAGTAATTGGAGTAACTTAAAGCAAAAATCTCCAATTCCCCGCTTTAATTAAAAAGCATTAGGAAGCATTTCCAGTAACCCTACAAGGTATTTAAAATAGCGAGCTTCTAAGTGCAAAGCTTTTTCAGGCAAAGTGGTAATTTTTAAAGTTTTCACTTGGGCAAATAAATCTGAAACGTGCAGCGGCATTAATAGAAAAATGGTGTCGAGACTATCGCATCTGGTATCGAAGTGTACGGCTGCGAGCTTTCCACTTAATTTTCCAGCATGCAGCAAAGTTTGAAATTGTATCGAGATATAGTCGCCTGGAAATCATGCTCAAGCAACTAATTAAGGGAATTTTCAAGTTGAATGCAGCCATTTATTTTTTCGCCCGGCATTACAGAAAGCTGGGCCTTTTATAAAGCAACTCGACAAACATTATTTCTTATACCCCTACAAATCCGGTAGATTATTTCTTTCATTTCCCAAGATAAAGCGCTACCCTCCTAATGACTCGAGTAAGCACTGAAATTGACCCACATTTGTAAAGAGAAAAACGATTTTTTCATTAAGGAACTGTAGGGGCAATTCAGCTCCTCATTAGGCGTACTAATGGAGTGAATTAGAGCTGCTGACAAAGTCAATTGGGATTTTCAATAAATGGTGTAAAGAAAATAATAATTGCTGAGTTCAAATCATTCTGAAGCTTAGGTATTTTTCGACAGAACTTCCTAATTCCGGAAAACTCTCCCCCACAGCAAGCGGCAAGCGCTAAAAGTGTTTCATCACATTGCCGGATTAATTTAGGCATATAAAATGAAACTAATTAAACTTTATTGGGCAACTCCCTTTGTAGCCAGACGTTTCAGCCAGTACCTAATCCGCTTTACCTCTGGCACAGTAAATATGTATATTTGGTGTATTCAAATTGATGGCTTAAAAGTTGTGGCTATGGGGGACACATTTCGAATTTCCTTGTATAATTTATTCAATCTCTTCTTTTATTTGTCTTAAATTAAGCTGAATATTATGTGAAGTTTAAATGCCGATCGAATCCGATAAACCACACCGCCAATTGTGGGGTTTTTCCATTTAAACTTCAAGGCATCAAATAAAAGAAACCGCAACTAGGGGGAAGTTGGAAAGTTTTCTGATTGCTTTCTGGCTTTATTATTAATCCAAAAGTTAATGTTCAGGTCAATTGCCAATCCATAATTGAAACTGCAATCGACTAAAGAACCTTTAGAGATTATTAGCAAATATCGGGATCGTAGTGGATGTTTTAGATCAACTGCGCGTTTTTCTGTAAAAATTCGCATCTTTCCAAGTAAGTCAGGTAGCAATTGGCAAATTTCACTGCCTCAAGAAAATATTCGGTTCTCAAAACTCTGAAGTTTCATAAAAACCTTCGGAAATGCTGATTTTTTCCGGTCTGTTATGGATGTTTTGACTCAACTGCGCTCTTTACTTTGAAAATTCGCATCGTCCCAACTCAAGATTTTTAGCGTCTTTAACCACGATTTTGAGCAAAAAATACTAAACGTATATATTTTTGCAGGCCTGGTTAATGTCGGTCCTAAAATTTATGGTTTTAGTCAACTGCGGTCTCTTATTAAAAAAATTCGCATCTTCCCAACTAAGGCATTTAAAATGTTCACCATCGTAAGCTAACACGCGGATCTAAAGACCCTAAAAGTTTCATAAAAATCGTCCGAAATCTTGATTTTTTACGGCTGTGTAAATATCGGTTTCCCAATGGAAGTTTTGCGCTCTCTATTTCAAAAATTTGCAGCTTCTAGTCCAATGGAAGAAGCAATTTGCAATTTTCACCATGTTTTGCCGACGGTTGCCTGTAAATTTGGCAACAGTTTCATAAAAATTACTCAAAATCCTGATTTTTTTTCGGCTTTGGAAACATGGGTGTCGAAATATCGGTTTCAAAATTACGTGTAGACTCAACTCCCCTCTCTTCTTTAAAAAATTGCAAACATTGTCAACGTTTTGTTTGTTTGTTTTGTCTCGACAGATGCTGAAAGTTTCAGAAAAAATCAATGTTTTCCAGCTTGGCAAATGTGGGCTCAAAACTTGTCAATATTGGACTCCTAATGTGTGTTTTGAATCAACTGCACTTTCTAGTTTAAAAATTTGCAGCCTCCGAACTAAAGCAAGTACAAGCTAGACATTTTCACCACCTTTAAAAAACACTTTACCCTAACGTGCTTCAAGGTACCATGAAAAACGCCCGAAATTACGATTTTTTCCGGTTTGGAAAATGTGGGTGGCAAAATTTGTAAATTTCGAACTCTGAATGTGTGCTTTCCGTCAAGTGTTTTAAAAATTTCCGCACTAAAATAAGTCTCAACTTGAAATTTTCACCAGGCTTAGAAGACACTTGGTTCTAACGATCCAGAAAGTTTCATAAAATGGCCCCGAGTTTTCTTGAGTTTTCTTAGTAAATAAGTCAAATAAGTGACTTTCGGCCAAATTTGCTTGATTGATTTTTTGTACGTTTAGCGCAAACTTTCCGGTTTTCTTCATTCAACAAATGCCGTAATCCTTCAACACACTAATCGGGACTTTTTCCAGTCATTTGTGTTTGAAGAAATCGAAAACATGTGGCGCAGAGATTTAATTAGTGCAAAAATTCCCGGCCGGTTTATATTCTCCATCTGGAGAAAGAAAGGGGGCCTGCAACCCATAAAAAATTCATTCACGTTGTTCTTGAGAGGAAAAATCCGATTGATGAAAGTTCTACTTAAATGGCTGTTGAGCGGAAATGTTTATTAAATGGCAGATATTTTTTAATTAAAACTACGTGAAACGGCCAGCTGCAACTGAATCAATTGGGGCAAAGAAGTTTTTCATGAAACGCTTCCATCACTGAAGAGTTTGAAAATGATCGGAATTAATTCCCAATCCAGCCTGAGTATCCTTAGGGTTGTATATGGGAGTGTTACTCTAGTAAATTGCAGGAAAATCGGTTTAATTCATGCAATAACCGTGGTCCCAATTAGAGAAATAATGCCGAATATACCAATCAATTATTGCGCCATCGTAGCTCAGTTCGAAGTACAAAACGAAACTTGAAAGGGTGTTAAGGGGAAAACAGGAGCGCCGCTTCCTTGTTTCGCCCGAACTGAGCAGTTTCTGGAAACCCTTTTCGTGGGCGTGCAAAGCCGGCGCTTTTGTTCCTTATCGTTATTGTGCCTGACCATCGGATTTTCACTGGATAAATAATGGTAAAATAAACTGTCAGGACCATCCATATTTAACAATATTTTGTGGGGGATGACTCGACGATATGATCGGGTCCTGCGGGGACTTGAAACAGACTAACTAACCGTTGATTGATTATGGTGATTTCAATGGGGGGTTCAAGTGAATTTTCTCTATAATGCTTCATAATAATGAGGATTTTAGTGGGAAGTTTCTGGTGATTAACCCGAGCCAAATTCCTGCAACTTTGCCAGCAAGGCGMCGGCCACAGTAGATAACACTTTGTAGGAAAATTTTCGGTGATTTATCCTCGCGTTCAATTAGCTGGAATGGAAGTCTAAGATGCAACCAAAAGTTCATGGTTTAAACTAAAGTTCCTCTAGGTTTTTATTCGTAAGTTTTTCGCATTAAASGCGAACTCATTTGATAAAGCAACCGTTGTACACTAGTGGCTTAATCCGAAGTAARGGCGGATTTTCCCGAATTTATATTTTCTCGTCAGGCGGCTGGAACAACAGCAATATATCAAGCCGGGACAGGCCCGATTGATTCCAATTYGAAAAATGGCCATTTCGGTCCGGCCTGAATTACGAACCAATTAATCGGAAAGAGTAAACACTTATCTGGGTCCATTGCCAGTTCCTATTTGTTTCRCATTAATTACTCAGGCCTTTTCGCTATTGATTGGATTGGACAGTTGATAAAACTTCTTTTTTCTTTCTGTTACAGTGCAGCCTCGATCCAACTTTGGGCCGATGCTTCAAGTCGAGGCACAGCAACGAGTCGCAATGTCCGATGCTCGCCTCCATTTCGAAGACGACCACTAAGCTGAAGAATCCCAAAGCAAATCTGGTCTCTGGTGTGGTGAAAGCCTCTCCATCCACTGCATCCAATCAAAAAAAGCTGCGCTTCCAGCTGGCCAAAGAACGGAAAGCCAGCACCACTTTGGGCATCATAATGAGCGCCTTCATCTTCTGTTGGCTACCTTTCTTTGTGCTCGCTCTTGTTAGGCCTTTCTTGGTCGAGACTACGACAGTTTTGAATACTTTGGGTAAGTTTCACTTGGAATTTTTAAAATGATAAAGGTTTCATAAAAATTGCACATCGTCACAGCCTTTGGTGAGCGCGTGAGTCTAAAGATGCTGAACGTTTTTTAAAAATCTCCCAGAATACTGATTTTTGTCAGTTGGGTAAATATCAGTCTCACGATGGATGTTTTTATTCAACTGTGCTCTCTTGGAAAATTGGCATCTTTCGACCTAAAACAAGTAGTAACTTGAAATTTTCACAGCGTTTAGTAAACAGTTGCGTCTAAACATACTGAGTCTTGATCGTCAGGATTTGTGATTTTTTCCGGCTTTGTAATATTGGCCTTTTAATGAAAACTTTTTTCCAACTGTGCTATCCTTTTTAAAATCATATCTTCGCAAGTAAAACACGTAACAACTTGAAATTTTCACAGCGTTTAGCAGGTACTTGAATCTAACGATGGTAAAAGTCTTCAATAAAACCGCCCAAATTTGTGATTTTGCCAGCTTTGCAAATATCGGGCTCATAATGGCTGTTTTTATTCAATTATGTTCTCTACTTAAAAAATTCGCCTCTTCCGAACCAAAACCAGTAGCAGCTTGAAACTTTTCCCAACATTAGTGGATTTGCACTTGAGTCTAAAGTTGCTGGAAGTTTTAGAAAAATGTCCCGCGATCCTGGTTTTTACCACTTGGGTGATTCTCGGTCGCTTAGGGCATGGTTTTATTCAACTGTGGTCTCTCTTGAAAAATTAGCATCTTCCGAACTGAAACAAGTAGCAGCTTGAAAATTTCCCCAACTTTAGAAGGCACTTCAGTCTAAAGACGCTGAAAGTTTTAAAAAAATAGCCGAAGAGCCTGATTTTTGCCAGCTGCGTAAATGTCGGCCTTAAAAATGGTAAAGGTTTCATAAAAATTGCACATCGTCACAGTCTTTGGTGAGCGCGGGAGTCTAAAGATGCTGAACGTTTTTTAAAAATCTCCCAGAATACTGATTTTTGTCAGTTGGGTAAATATCAGTCTCAAGATGGATGTTTTTATTCAACTGTGCTCTCTTGGAAAATTGGCATCTTTCGACCTAAAACAAGTAGTAACTTGAAATTTTCACAGCGTTTAGTAAACAGTTGCGTCTAAACATACTGAGTCTTGATCGTCAGGATTTGTGATTTTTTCCGGCTTTGTAATATTGGCCTTTTAATGAAAACTTTTTTCCAACTGTGCTATCCTTTTTAAAATCACATCTTCCCAAGTAAAACACGTAACAACTTGAAATTTTCACAGCGTTTAGCAGGTACTTGAATCTGACGATGGTAAAAGTCTTCAATAAAACCGCAAAAATTTGTGATTTTGCCAGCTTTGCAAATATCGGGCTCATAATGGCTGTTTTTATTCAATTATGTTCTCTGCTTAAAAAATCGCCTCTTCCGAACCAACACCAGTCCCGCGATCCTGGTTTTTACCACTTGGGTGATTCTCGGTCTCTTAGGGCATGGTTTTATTCAACTGTGGTCTCTCTTGAAAAATTAGCATCTTCCGAACTGAAACAAGTAGCAGCTGAAACGAAGTAGCAGCTGAACGCTGAAAGTTTTAAAAAAATAGCCGAAGATCCTGATTTTTGCCAGCTGCGTAAATGTCGGCCTTATAAAGGATATTTGTACTAAACTTTGTTATCTACTTAAAAATTCGCATCTTCCAAACTAGGGCAGATATCAACTTAAATTTTTCACCGCCAATGCTTCCAAAATCCCAACTATTTCCATATGCAAAGTAAACTTCTAATTCTAAATATAAGTCTAAATAACTTTGTTATCCTTCTTGGGTCTCAGTCAAAGTGTGAAGTAAAAATTTTGAACATCGTTTATTTCATTACGTTTCGGCGAGACAACAGCGCCATCATCAGATTTAAAATTTACACAAACTCATGATTGGTAAAAATCATGAACCTTCTTGAAACCTTAAATTTGTTTCGACAAAGACCAAAAAGAACGTTGATTTTGACCAATCATGAGTTTGTGTAAATTTTAAATCTGATGATGGCGCTGTTGTCTCTGTTGTCTGGCCGAAACGTAATGAAATAAACGATGTTCAAAATATTTACTTCAAATAAGAAAATCATAACAAGTACACGCAGTCAGGAAAATAAATCAGAATAAAGTGTAAATAATTTTTTGTCTGGTATTTACAGGTAGCATATTCCTGTGGTTGGGGTACGCAAACAGCTTGTTCAACCCAATAATTTATGCGACATTGAACCGAGATTTTCGCAAGCCTTTTAAGGCGATCCTCTACTTCCGTTGTGGCAGTCTGAATCACATGATGCGCGAAGACTTTTACCACAGCCAATACGGCGATCCTGAGCAGCATCCTGCCAGGTACCATTTGGACGATGATGAAGGTGTTGAGTACATTGAGGCTGAAGGCGAAGAGATCAAGATGTCGGAAACGGAGACTGCGGCGCAAGAATCTTTTTTGTGATTATTAAATTTTGCTGGAGCGCATCAGGTATTGAAAATCGCTTCGAGTAGTAAAATTGATGCCTTCCTGTGTAGGTTGGGAAAAGTGAAAAAGTCTTGTCTTTGTAGGTTTCTTCTCCAACATACCCGCCTAATAAGGACTAGGACTAAGCCAGTTTCCTAAACAAATTTTTTTGTAAACCTACAAGAATCCTAAATATTTTAAAATTTTATACTTCTTAAGGGTTAAGACAATCGACTTTTTTAGAGCTAAATGATGTATATACTAATGAAATACACACTTCTAGTCAGACTATTTGGTTGTTTCATTTCATTTGGATGGGAAGTTCATAAAAACATAAACAAATCCTAACTCGAGCGCCGCAAAACCTCGCTCAATTGGCCAGAGAAAGAGAAATAAAATCGATTCGAGCCCACGACTATGCACACATTTGTAGAGTAATGTTAGCCTCTCGTCCAGTGAAAACCATCTGATACGTTATTAAAGGGAATTGATACAGAAGTGTTGTTTACTTCCTTTAGGAGGAGGAAAATTGTTTAAAAATCCGCTGAAAAGCGCCAGCCAGTTTATAAGTTTCGTTGTATTTAGAACCTAGAAATTTTATTCAGCTTTAAAAAAATTCACATAATCAGCCAGTGGACTCATCAACCGTCCCATCAAAAGTTGGATTATCATATTGATAGACTATGGAGGAATTGTCCTGTGGAATATTTTCTGGGAAACTGCGGAACGCATTCGGGTTGAAGGGGCGCAATTGGGATTTTCTTATATTCATCACTGTGCTTCTTCGGCGATGTATTGCTTGAAGGGTTTTCCTGGGAACCGCCACATCAGCTGGAATAAAAAAGTTGTCAGTTCCCGCCAAAGCATCAAAGAACATACTGACTTTCTTCCCCATTTCTGATCTTTGCCATTCTAGCCTGGAACGCTGAATCCAGATCGTTGATAATTGCTCGTTTTTTGTCTTTGTTCTTCGCCAGGTCTGCCACCGTTTTTCGTCTAGACACGTGAGCATCCACATCTTCCTCTTTTTCGTCATCTCCATTCACTCCTTTGAGTTTGATCAGTTTCTTGAACGTTTTCAGCGGGTCGCGCCTCAGCAGCTCATCTTCAGTCATATTCTCGATCTGAAACGTTTCGGTTTGCCGTAAAACTGATTAACAACCTCAGGAATTACCTTAGTTTTTCCAAACTCCACGTCAGTGTTTGCCATGATTTGTGAAAAAGTCCCGAATCGATGCACCAGCATCCCGAAAAACTGGATTCCCATCAGCAGAAAGAAGAATATTAGAAACACGAATCCAATTGGCTCCAGTTCCAAGTATGTCTTTTGGATGATTATCTGAAATGGTCATCAATTTAGGTAAGTCGCGTGAATATTCTGGTCATTTTCAGTCTTACTTCGTTCACATTCAGAGCACTGGAGTAGGTGAAGTTCACTTTGGGATTGAAGGGCCACTGCAAGTGCAAAATTTCCTTCTTGATCGTAAGTAGAAACACCACCACAACGAAGATGATGTTGATGAAGAAGAAGCTCATCGCCATTCGGTCTCTCAAGTCTTTAAGGTCCCGTGCAACTTTCTCCTGGAGGAAATGTGTTGAAACGCTTTGTTAGCCTGCTAGCACTGTAGCCAACCTTATCATCTTCAACTGGGTGCAAGTAGGCATCAAGCAGCTTCTTCCAGAAGAGCTCCTCTTTCTTCTCCAAGAACGTAACGTGGCCTCTGATGAGTTCGTCGCTGTACAGCCAGTTGTTATTTTGCAAGTCATCGGAGAGCGTATCAAGTGAATCATCATCGTCGGATTCCTCATCCACCAATGAACTATTGGGGTAAATTCCTCCATGTTTATCCAGAGTGGATTTCTTCCTTAAAGCTGAGGGTCGAGAATGGACGGACATCTTGGATGGTTTGGTCCCTGAGACATTAAACACCATCGTTCTTTAGCTATTACGAGTATTTTGTGCGTAAGAGATGTTGATTGATTATTTATTATAACTTTGAAGGTTTCTTAAAAATTATATACTGAAGTGGAGTTCTTGCTAAAAATTCCTCGCCCTCTGGCAATGAAAACAATGGGAAATTTATAGTGTTGTTACCTTCCAACATTGTCGTTCCTGATTTCCAAGTGGATTTTCTCGGGCGTTCCGCATCAGGATCCAAAGTAATCGTCTCCAAATCCAGCACTTTTTGGTCGATATGGTCCACTTTTTCCCGTATTGCCATCAGGGAATCATTAATCATGAGCAAATGTTTCGGATCACTGCTGCACGACATGAAAAAGTCCCTCACTTTATGCAAAGTTTCTACCACCATGGAGGCTTTTTTCTTCTCGGGCTTCTTTGGCTCGCCGGGCTACAAGCGCTTCAATATCACGCCCACTCGGCTGAGATCATGTTCTACTTACCACCGCTTTGGGCGCCACAGTCACTTCCCTGGTTCCCCAACTGACATTGTTCATGTTGAAGACTGAGTAGATGACCAACAACATGTACATGCTGGGCACAGTCATCAGGTAGATGACGCCATATTTCAAGCAGTAGAACTCCTTCGGATGAACCAAGGCAGCTATAATGTACTCGCCTGGGGAAATATGGAGAATCTTAAACTGACCAATGGGACAGTTGCTGAAGAGAACCCACCCATCATGAGGAAGAAAAATAGGGACGAAGGGGCCAAAATTCCATCTTCATTGATCTGCATAGCGACTCCAATGAACACCATCATCATCACCAGGCCATAACCGGCGCTGAGTATTGCCGCCACTAGCAGCTAAAGAGTTTCGTTTTTATCCCCATTTAAGACGGGATTTTTAAATAACTATTCCTACCTGGGTTTTGGACTCACACGTCAGGGAAACCAGCACGTAGAGCAAAATAGGAGCCACGTTGCACCATAAGGCGCTATATTGGGACATGTTGAACACTGTCACGAAAGCTCCTACCAACATAAGGAAAATCGTCCCTGGGCCGATCACCGTTCCCACCATCAAGATCATCTGAAATGTTTGATGCATTTTTAAACTAGCAGATGCACAAAATCAACTGGGACTCACCTGGTACCAAATATAGGGCGTTGATATGTCATCGTTCACTTCCTTGATGTGATCGGAATCCTCCAGCAGATCCAGAATATTGGCCATGGTGGAAGGCATCCATCTTCTCCTCTGGTTGTAGAACTCGTTGAACCCTTCCGGGCAATGAGTGTAGGCGTCTGAAGCTGCTGAGTATTCCACCCTGTAGCCTCGCTGTAGAAGAAGCGTGCAAAGCCATCTGTCTTCACCTGAAGGTTTTACATGAATTTTTGCACAAGTTCCTCAACGTTTAAATAATTCAAAATTGCATTGTGGAATTCTTCAATTTACCTTGATCGTATTGGACGTAATGTCTCGCTTCAGTGGCTCTTGTTGTGTATCTGGCCATCACGTTATGGTCCATAAGAGCCCCAGCTCTGAACAACGAAAAGCATCCAGGTGAGCAAAGAACACACCCTATGACGTGCTCAGTGGCTTTTTGCATCCAATGTCCAACCGCGTACTCAAATATTTGGTACCAAGCCATTGCTCCCGATCCTGGATGGAGATTTTTGTAAATGACCATTTCAAAATGCTGATGCAACACTCACCTACAGGATGAATTCGCCCACACGCCGCCCCTAAATTATCATTCTTCTTCATGTATTGGATCAGCAAATGAACAGCATCCGGTTGGAAATCTATGTCACCATCCAGAGCCAGCAGGAAGGTGTTTTTCGACCGATTGGCTACTCTGGTTTCGTCATATTCGTCATTGTCCACTATTCTAAAGTAAAAAAGTGTTGATTATCAGCTACTCCAACGCCTATGGGGCGAGCTTACTTGTGTCCCAGAAGATAGTACATGTACATGACCTGAGACCATCTTTTCTTGGCTCTGATCTTGGCTTTGTCTTTCAGGTGGGCGATGACTTTGGTTTTTCCTGGCAGGGTCCAAACCAAGCGACCCCCATATGGAGTTGAGTAAATTATTGGAGGACGAATTCTTACTGCAATTAAAAATTTGAGTTGATTTTTCGTTCGGGTTGTCAATGATCGTGTTCATTCACCTGTGGTTTTATGAACCTCATTAGCTGCTTCTCCCAAGGTAGCAATTAGATCTTTCACGTAGGTATTGAGCTCTGGGTCGTTATCATCTGCCGATTTTCTCCAGAAAGCATCATCAAAGAAAATATGAGCTGCAAATCAATGGAACCCTTAACAAATTTACCTGGAAAGGCGGCCACGTCACTTACTTTCCCACTCGTAGTAACCCTCTATTGGATACTGCAGATATTGCTTAACAATTCGATGGGCCGCTTGATCTTCGTCCATTCTGAATATCGACTTCAAAAACTCCATCATTTCTTCGGGAGTTTCGTGCCACATGGTTGCACACGCGAAAATTCGCGTTATCTTATCCACATCTATGTTGCTT